TGTATGTATGTTCAGTCCATGAGTTTAACGTGGGTCAGATGTCAGGAGGCAGAGTTCAGGAGTCTGACAGCTGTGGGGAAGAAGCTGTTCCGGTACCTGGTGGTCTTAGTCCGGAGGCTCCTGTGGCGCCTCCCAGAGGGCAGGAGGGTGAAGAGACCATGCGATGGGTGACTGGGGTCTTTACTTCTGGTTTCGGGCAGGTAATGGCGGACATGTGATCGTTCGCACTGACGTCTGTTTCAATGTGGGAAGTGTTACGAACAGCTGATCGGATCGGCAAAGTGTGTTTCTGGAATATTACGTTTTTGTTCCTGCAAGCGCTTTTTATGCAATTTTTGCAAAGCTATATGTGGAAGGAAACCATGACCTAGGACAAGCTGATGGCATAAGATGTAAGTACAACTCCTCCGGTTTCATATGCAAAAAAAATTATTGCGCTAGCTTACACGGTTCTGGTTCTACAGGGATTTAAAAATAGTTACGCAAAACGGAGCGTGCCCGCTCCGACCAGCTTTAAAGGGTTAACTTAGCTTCAACAGCTGTTTCCCATATTTTCATGTTATGGCTCATCAGCTTCATTGCTGTTACTAAAGATCTACATTTCACCCTTGTTCTTGAAAATCTGCACGAATACAGTTCTCCATTCCTCAGGCTTGTGTTAAACAATGTGATTAAAAGGCTCACTGCCCTCTTTTCTGGACATCTCCATAACTCCACTGACCAGCTGCCTTTGAAATCTTCATCTGCCTCATAGCTGCACTCACTTCCTCCTTACTAATCCTCTGCAATAACTTTTCCCCTTCCATCCTCTCTCTCATTTTTTACATTGAGCTCTTTAAAGTATTCCTTGAGTCTTCTCCATCTTCTCTGCAATTACTGGAGCTTCGGTGGATCCAACCTGTCTCTCCTGTTTATCTGACTCTACCCAACCTTTCCTCTTCCAAGGCAAAAGGCGATTATGGGAACGTTTGCCCACTAAGCCATCCCGCTACAGCATGAGGACTGTTCATTTGGCTTTTGTTAATGCTAGATCATTAATGAACAAGGCTTTTCTAGTAAATTTAATTTTTCAGAGGTGGGGGGGTTAGTGACTCTGTTCAAATCCAGTTTCCATTGTCAACAGTCTCTGTCTAACCCCTTCTAGACCATTGAGGTGTAGACATTTATACTGTGCTGTGCACTCTGATCTACCACTAAGATTTTTTTTAAAAAGAATTTGTAGAGTTTGTGGGTGAAATAACCCTGAATTATGATTAGTTCCAAATTTCTGGTGACTTAAATATTCAAATAATGTCTTTATTTTATTGAAACATTTAACCTCACTTAGTCAGTGACTTGTCCAACACAAGAAAAGGGACACACCTTATGTCCCACACAGATTTATGGAAAAAGTATTTCAGACCATTTTGCCATTTTGCGAAATTACTTGAGTCATTACCAGCTTTAACTTCTAATTTAAAAAGAATTTATGAGCAGGCACTATTCTATCTATACCTCTTACATGCATAAATGTGCACCTGAATACTTTTTTACTTACACTTTCTACATGATACTACAACCATTAAATTTAAGTGTTTCATACTTGATGAAATGCTTAATTTAGAAACAGTCATCTATAAAGAATGAAAATACTGTCAGTAAACTTGCTATGACCTTATTAATGAAGAACAATACTTTTATGTGTTTATTAGCTATAATGTATATTATACCATAAGGTTTTATACATGATCAGAGATGCACCAATAAAACACTAATACCTCATACTATGTAGTTATAAAATGTTGCCCTTGTGCCTTATATAGGCATAACTAGGGATGGGTATCGAAAACTGGTTCTTGTTGAGAACCGGTTCCCACTGTTTCAATTCCTTGGAATTGTTTGCCATTTTTGCAAACGTTTCCCTTATCGATTCCAGTTTCCCCGAATGACATCACCACGTTGCGGAGAGTCATTTACCTGGCAGGAAACATGGCGGCTCAAACGCTCAAAAGTTTGGTTATACTTTACGAGAACGGATGACAACAGGGCAACTTGCAATACTTGCAAAGTGGATATTTCATTTAAGGGAGGAAACACTACGAATATGCAAAAGAATTTGCTCACAAAACACGTGATAACTTTAAATGAATGTCGTGTTTTTAATTCCGCTCCGGACTCGTGAATCTCAACCCAGCAGCAGCGGTAACGTTTGCACGTCCTCTCCTGTTAATGCAGCAAGTAAATAATCAACTAACAGTGCATATTATGTTAGTGCAATCTGCCTTATTACAAAACCTGCCATTACTGTGCATTTAGGTGACCATGATGAGAGAGACAGACAGTCGGGCTGGCTCAGATGCTGGCAGTTCTCGCTGCAGTCTGCCGGTAGCGTCTCCTTTCAGGCCAGGATAGACGAATGTCACCGAGCAGTGACTAAGTTTGTGGTAAAAGGCTTGCACCCATTTGCCACAGCAGAGGGCCACGATTTCACTTTGGTAAGTGAATGTGTTTAATTGTAGGCAGGGACATTACTGGATATTCTTGTGTAATTGCTACAGAATAATTTATGTTATACTTTGTTATTGCTACAGAAGAATATTTATTTTATTATTTTACATTTACAATTTTTTCCTGGGGACCCTGTGACCCATTGAAGAGCCATAGGCTGGATCTCTTAAGATCTCACTGTTGGGTTTGTAAGGCCATGTTACTCCTAAATTTCTATCTTGTTCAAAGAGAAGATATAAAACAAAGTTCTAAGTTAATCGACCTTAGTGTTCTCCTTTTTTAAAAAGAATCGAATCGTTAAACAGAATCAAAAATGGAATCGGAATCGTGAAAATCTGATCAATACCCATCCCTAGGCATAACAAAATGAAACTTTCTTACCAGAGACTGTCAGTGTGATGACATCACTCCACTCTGTCACAGAATACAGCTCCTGTTTGTTTTTACCCATACACCTGTAGCTTCCACTGCTGATCACAGATGCATTAAGATTGATGGATGCATCATTTGTCAGAACTGTGCTTGAGTCAGGTTTGCTCCACTCATACTCCCATGCATGGGATCTCCACAAATATTCCCACTCAGTGCTTCCACCTAAAGAAATCTGACATCTAACAGTGATCTTCTCGCCACTGAATATCAGAGGCCAGCTGGGCTCCAGGGACACAACTGCTTTGCTGGAAACTGTTTACAAAAGCAAAAATCTAATTGGTCCAGTTTTAAATATTTCTGCATCCCATGTTAATCCAAATGAAAACGCTTAAACTCACCTCTTTTTTCAATAGTGATTGGATCACTGTCCTCTGTGAAGAAAACTGGGTTTCCTCTCCCTCCCTTGCAGTAGTAGATACCTCCCTGTGTGACAGTGATCATTTGATCTGGTTCGTCGTTTCTAATCACCTGAATTTCTGAGAAGACTGAGGCACGTCTGAACCAGAAGTATTTCCACTCATTGTAGCTCCCCACAGAGCAGCTGAGTGTTGCATTGCCTCCAGCTGGTATAGTTCTTCTCTCAGCAGTAATTGTGGGTCTGGGTTTGTTTGCTGTTTGTTAGAGTAAAATAAAGATGTTTTTCTATAGCTGGTCAGATGAATAAGAGTAGATAATAAACTCAAAGGTGATTTTACTTACAGACTTTTAGTGTAAAAGCATCACTCCAAGCTGTTGAGAAGAACAAGTCTCTTCTACCCTTACACCAATATTGCCCGTTGTAGGAAAATGAAGCACTGCTGATGTTGTATTCACTGTGTGTGGGAGGTGTTTTTGAGCTTGTTGTTCTCCATTCATGCTGCCACTCAGTGTTTTCTCCTCCTTGGATCTCACATTTGATGGTGATCATCTCACCGCTGAATATCTGAGTCCAGTTCTGTTGCAGAGTCACAAAGGCCCTGTTGGACACTTTTCATACCGAAAATATCCCATTAATTCACAGATAAAACAATGGCAATTTTGAAAATGCACAATTTTATTCCTTTAGAGAGGTTATCAAACTCACATGTTTTCTGAATGTGATACACTTTGCTGAGGTTTGTGAAGAAAACTGGGTTTCCTCTTCTTCCTCTGCACTGATAGATGCCTTCGTCTGAGACACTAATGAAGTTCTGCAAAGTGTTCGTATCAATTACTACTTCATAAGAATCTGGGATTTGTCTGAACCAATCATATGTCCAGCCAGCAGAGCCCTGAACAGAGCAGGACAGTGTCACCGAGCCCCCCACTGGAATAGTTGTCCTGTCTGCTGTTATAGTCGCCGTGGGTCTGAGTGCTGTTTGATTTAGAATACATTGTTTTTGTTATTAATACATTTTCCTGGGAAAAACTCAATTTTAACTATTTTCTCATAATTTTTAGAGTAAAAGGCTGAAGTAATTCATGAAGTCAGCATCTCACATGACCAATTTTTCTCACTTCTCTCATAGATCATAGTATACATAATGTACCTTATCTATATGTTATTGCACTAAACTTGATATTACTTCCTCATTTGCTGTCACATCCGCAAGTTTTCACAACGCTCAGCTGAAAGTTACATCGTATTTGAAGTATTTACTTCCTGCTACATTTTCAGCCTTAACAGGTCGACTCTGAGTTTGTAACCTAGCAGGAAATGTCTGCTTGATGTTACTGTCCACTCCCTGCTGTGCAGAGATCATTACATCAACAAGAATAAAAGAAAAATACTAAACAGAAACTTTGGAATAACATAAACTGAAACTCTGATGCTGGAGTGGCACATTTTATACAGCTGCTACTTGTCAATGAAAGTCTAATAAATATGATACAGTAGCTTACCTGATATGGACAGAGTCAGGTTATTACTCCGTTTTGTAAAATCTGTCAAGCCATTGCGGCGACCAATACATTGATAATTCCCACTCAGCTCTGCTGTCAAGTAAAGTGAGTAGGAGCTACTTTTAGTTAAGCTGATCATTTCTTGATCATTCCAGTTGAATTTGTAAAGCCAGTCAGTGGCATTTCCCTCTCTCATGTCACAGATGAAGGTTACAGACTCTCCAGCAAATAAATGGGACACGTTTGGTTTAAGGCTCAGCTCAGCATCTAAAATCCAACATGAACATAAACACACAAGAAAAAGTTCAGACCAGCTTCTGGTTTAATGAAGAGGAAGACTTCTCATGTTATGGCAATACTTTATGTATTTAAAACTGAAAATAATATTTAAAAATGAATGAGCATAAATGAAGAAACAACAGAATGTTATTTACACATCAATCCATAGAAAAATGTAAAAGGAAGAATACTATTAAGTTACCTTGAGTGTCTCCACAGCAGAGGGTAATATTCAGCACTGTAAGAAAGATTCACATCTGTCTGCCATCAATGGTCACATGTTGCAAATGAAAGCCTTTTTAATGAATAGCATTTTAGCATTAGCAGCAAAAGCTGGATAAAAATTTGGCATTCAATATAGTCTTTATCGGTCAAATAAAGGAAGTTACTTATACTCACAGAATAAGGACAGCACGCTGAGCACAGTGAGCCCCATCCTCACACTGAGCCTGAAAGTCTGTCACTGCTACTGACAACAGAAACACTGAAACAGAAGTGAGAAACACAGAATGTGAGAAAATAGTAATGTTTCATCTGATTATGGGAGTAGAAGCTTTCTGCAACCTCATTTTATGTGTTCAGCCTTTCACTGCTACTTCTCTTTTAGCCCTACACGAGGACACTGATGACAGATCTTATTTTTAACCGCTGACGCTTCCTCTTTTATTGCTGACAGTATGCAGACATGATATATGATCCCTAATTCTGAAACAAAAATTGTAACTGCTCAGATAATTAAATTTGGAAAAATGATTTGTTGTTGAAGGCTTTTAAGATCATAAGAGTGTCACCCATGGTTTAATTTAAAAACAAATTCAAAGAAGAAATCAAACAATTTACGATCATTATCATTGTCTGTCTTATGTCTTACACTACTTAAAATCTGGGGTTCACAGAGGAGAAAATGAATTATAGACTGAATGTCGATATTCTCAGGGACAGTGGCTTTAGATTAATAAAACAATCGCTATGGTAACAAAATGCTTTTACAAAAAAAAGAGGCAATGACGGCATGCGTACACGTGGTCGATGAACTAAACTTCCTTTTCACACCTTCCAATATGTTGTTGAGGGTTTGGGCATCACGTCAGACCTTGAGCTTTCTACATACAGCAACAAACGTGTTTATATGTTTATAATCGATCAGGAAAGATGTGCGATTAAACGTGCCATACAGTTAAAGATCAACAGGTTTCATAAATATACTTCAGCACCTGTCTCTCCTGTGGTTTTGAAAAGGTCCACAGTTGTTTTTTCTAAGAAATGAGGAAGAAGAAAGTAAAACGTTAGAAAAAATAGTTACTGTCTGTGAGACAGAGGATCAAAGGCATTTACATCAAAAGACTACAACTTAGATAATTGTTTCACCAAGAAACAGAAGGGCAAATGAAACAACATAGGTATCATTATGTAGCAGGTTTGTCAGAAAAACTTCTTAAACACAAGTTAAGCAAGTTAGGGCATGCTGTCATGATCCTGGGCCATGTTGGCCCAGCATTCTTAGTTTTCATGTATTTTTGTATTTTGTTCTTTATTTAGGCCATGGTTCCTGGGTTGCTCTGTTAAGTTGTTCCTTATTTGATGTCCCCCTTGTGACTTTTACCCCCTGTGTGCCCCTCTGTATCTGTGAGCCCTCGTCTCCCCTCCTTGTGTTTTATTCCATGTTTCCCCAGCCCGCTATGCCTGTGCTCTCCTGTCTCTCTCTCTCTCCTCCTGTCTGCACCTCTGTGTACTTCCTGTTTTACTTTGACAGTCTCCCATCAGTGTTGTGTTACTCCTGCCGTGTCTCGTTATGATTATCTGTGTCAGCTTATCTGTGTCAGCTGTGCTCCCACTTCCCCTCGTTAACCCTCTGTGTATTTATGTGCATGTCTCCCTCAGTTTGGTGTCGTGTCGTCAATGTCTCCTTCCCGAACCTGTGTGCCTTTCTGTGTTCCCTCGGTCCTCAGTTAGCATTCTCAGTTTAGTTCTGTTTCTTTGTGACGCCTGCAATAAAGCAGTGATTTTGAGTTCAGCTTTTTGTCTCCGTGAATTTTGCGTTTGGGTCCTCATCTGCCTCCACACAGCCAGTTCATGACACATGCAGTGCATTGACGACTGCTTACTGCACTGTACAGGCAAAACCAAATAGCTACTCCATAAATGCAGTACATAACATAGAAGAGCCACCTCGACAGAACAAGACTCACCTGAATCTTAAGGTTAAAGGTCACTGTTTCGAGGAGGCCAATGGTCGGATTTTGTGGATCTGTGTCCACTGTGCACGACCGTCACTGAACTGAGGTGGTGGCTTACGATACCAACCATCAGCAACATATAATGCAGTCTGGACATCCCTCCCCAGGTGCTTCTAACCTCACGCAAACCTTGCCCCCATTTGATATATGATATGATAGATACATATGATAGGGTGGAGCAAGGTCTCACAATGGTTTCATGTGCAACTTCTGGTGGTAATGACCTTTTTTCATACCTTGGCTTATGTGACAACACACATGATTAATAGCTTACAATGTACAATCCCCACTAGGTTTTAAATACCTGTGACTTTCCACCTTTTGCTTTTAGAACTGAAGAAGCCTCTTAGTCAGTTTCTGTGATGAGTTACTGTAGGTGTTAACTGACAGAAAATATAAAGGAAATTGAAACCACTCAAGTGTTTTTATCCTGCTCATCTGTCCATCCTCTTTTAGATGACAGCCTGTTGTATGCACAGGTCTATTACACTAAAGCGAAACCTAAGAGACACAAAGGTAAGTAATGTAATCAAATAAGTACCTTATTTCTTTTGCTTCGGGTTTTACACGTTTTACTCACCAAAGGAAATGAATAAATCAAGTTGTCACTTTGAACAAAGAGGCGCTTGCAATCACATTTGACAAATCATTTCTTTATTTACAGGAAAACCAGCTCCTGCAGCAGCTGATGAAACAGTTTATTCTGAAGTTAAATCACAAACAGCTCTGGGTAACTGTGCAGAAATAAAACAGCTTTAATGTTGTGATTTGCTGTTGTAATGATTAAATCAAATAAGCTTTAAAGGATGTAAATTCGGTTTTAAATCGTCTTTATTGACTGAATTATCCTGAGGCATTTCTTTCAGATTAATGACAAGGTCAGCCTTAGCCCAAACAAGCCACTCCATACAGAATCTCAGTGAGAGGCATGTTACTGGTAACATTTCATTACTCACTTTATATTTTCTTTTAATTATAAAAGGTAAACTTATATTTGATTATGTTCTGATTAGTATTAAGCATATTTAACTATCATCAATCTGCTAAATATCATTTAACCTATTCAAAATCATGCATGATGACAGGCCACAGACTTCCACACTCTTATCTACACCACATTCCTGCAGCCAGTCTCACACACACAGAATAATCTGTGAAGGTGAATCATGCCAGTGCACACAAACTCCAGACATTAAAATCATTTTCATTGCTTAATATGATAAAATATACACTATAAAGTGTATTAAGTAGTTTTTAACATTGAACTGTATCCCATTTTTCTCATTTTGCTTAATCGCTTTTCTACTAAAATAATAAATATTAAATTAGTTAAATGCTGTTGTAGGAAGCTGCATTTCTTGCACTACTCAGTCTATCACAGTAACATTTTAAACTGAAGTTGGGCTATGTGGTGGCTTGCACCACAGCTATGTTTACATAACATAAACAGTGAAGCTGGAGGGTGAACGCTAACATTTTTCCATTCGATGAAAGTTAATGTGAGGGTTCCCGAAGGTTAGGGACAAATGTAATCGCATGGCAGGATGCTATTAATGGACAAAACTTCAGTCAGGAGAACAACTGAGATAATCCATCCATAATATGAGGTTACTCATTCATATACTGCTGCATGGGCTGGGCTGTAGTTACATGTAAGGTTTTAAAAACTGAGCTTTAAAATGAATAGCTGTAATGAAAACCGAGACAGTGATCCCTGACTGTTTTTAGGGGCTTGTTCACATTAAATAGAACAAGATACAAAGCATT